GCACTGGTAACAGTGCTTTGTTCTGGGGGAGACTGGTTGCCCTCTTGGAAGTCAGTCTTACTACTTAGCAATTTCACTCATCACTATGTTCCCAGAATGGCATGTAGTGGTTGTAGCAAGTGTCTAATGATTTACAAATTACCTCAACTCTAATAAAATCAATTCAGAAAGTAATGCATAGCGAATAAACTACTAAGCCTGTATTTTTTTTTAAGAGATAAGTGTTAACTTAAAGAGTTTTCTCTGTTTTCTTCTTTATTCCAGGTTGCTTTTGTTGTTCTAGCATTTTTAGCAGCTATGTTTTGTTCTTACCCCAATCCAAGTCAAGATAAGTGCCCTGGAAACTACACTCACCCACTTAAAGTACAGACAGTCATAATAATTGCAAAAGTGCTCCTGTGGATTCTGCATGTCTTTTTTGAGCGATACATCCAGCACCACCACAGTCAAGTCAGAAGAAGAGGTTACTTCTCAATATACCGATCAACAAGGTGTCTAAAAAGGCTTCCACTGCTGATACACTCTACAGGTGAACTTGTTTTCTTGTTTTTTCTTCCTTCTAAATCTTTAAACGGTGACAAAAGAGAAGACTGAACAGTTAATAGGTAACTGTATATTATATATTATGAACTTATAAAAACCTGCTTATGGGCACTTAGGAATTCTATTTTAGTCAGATGAACCTCCTGACTGATTTTTCTGGCCTCCAGATGCATGTTGTAAAACTCTTTGTAGTGGAAAGAATGCTCACAAGTGTGAGGTTGAGTAAAACATTTAGTCATTAGCATTTAGTCTTCAGCCATAAACTCTTCAACCAGCAAGGTCTGTGTTTGACTGCTAATGGTCTTGAGTTGCATGCTCATTTCTCTAGTGGGATATGTGGTAAGACTGCTGGTCCTTCCAGGAAGTGTGCTTTTCTTCTTATTTCAAGCTCTAATTCACATAGAAGCAGAGGAATTGCCTGTTGCTGAACAGCTGTCTGAAATGAGTAAAATAAGGAGTTTTCTGATCTTCAGTTGAGTTCAGCTCCATTCATTCATTCAGCTCTATTTCTGACTGCCTTTTTCTACTTTCTGTGGACAAAAGGTGGTGTATGGGAGCCATTTAACTCAGCATATTCTAAGTTACATCACTGGCCAGTGGAGCTGAAAAGTGTTGACATAACTCAGTGCTGGTGTAGCTTTTCTACAAACTACTTCAACAAATCTAAAAGCCATCTAACTTGAAGGGACTTTTCACTCAAATAGCAGTGGAAAAGGGAACAGTGATGGCTTTGACAGTATTTTTGCCTGTTAGAATCCCACCTCCTTTCTGTAAATCTTCTGAATAACTGGAGCAAATTTTTTTTCACCAGAACTGATAAGGTAAATGGTCTTGCTCTAAAAGCCTAGCTTTCCACACAGTTGCTAAAAGAACTAGTCAGCTTGATGAATGTGCAAAACTTCAGGCTCTGGCCACTAGATAGAGCTCTGAAGAAGTGTTTAAAGTGCAGTGACAAAATCAGGCTACAGCAGACATAGTGCTGTAAAAGGACTGTTTCTGCTTATTGCAGTATAATCTGCAATACTTAGCCCTGTTTTCAGTCTTGCATGGAGCCCATTTCTGCCCTACTAGGCAAACTCTAGGCATGTATGAATGTTCAGGTGCAATCAGTTGTGTGCTCTAGAATTTCAATACAGATCACTTGTAGTTCAGAAGGTAAGCTCTGTTACTGCAAACTTCCTGCCATGATAATCACTGCAGATAAAACTTGCATCCTGACAGTTTAGTTGCTGGACATAGTATGAAAGAACTGTACAGTTCCCCAGCTAGATTAATGGTCTTAATAAATTCAGTTCTTTATCCAGATACTGGTTACAGCATTTCTACAGCAAAGAAGAGAACACAACACACTCTGTATCAGAAAAGCAGGTGTGTAAAGAATTAAAAAAAATTTTAGGTCTGTAATTTGATACTTTTTCTCCTTGACTAATTGTGCACATGGCAATTGAACTTTCAGTAACTGGCAGGTATTAAGATAATAGCTGGGCAACTGGAAGCCTGTGCAACTATCTCCCTGTGAAAGGAAGATGTTTAGGTTTTTTTAGCTCTGTTAGCCTCATTTCAGTATACTTTAAATTACTACTTGAAGGAAAACACCCTCTGATTTTGAATTGGCTGATGTGATCTCTTAGGAATTGAAAAAATGGGTAGCAGCAACATAGCTAATAACTGTTTAAGCCCACATATGTATGTTAGGTATTCCTACTGTGTTTTTTCCACTCTTGTTTTTTAAGTCAGAATAATCTATAAGAAATTCTCTACCATTACAGTCAAATGCTGAAATGAAACCTCATTTTGCTATCAGCAGTTGTAAGCTTGCGTCACCTGCGTTAAGGAAATTAGCTGAAAAGGCAAGTGTGGTATGAAATGGAGAAGCATTACTGAAATGTTGCAGCCTAATGCAGATACTGGGGATGAGAAAGAACTAAGTTATTTTCAACAGCTAATGAAATTGATATATTTACACTTGTAAAACATAACATTTGTTTTCTAGGTAATACAGCCCTGCTGTTGATTCTGTCAGTGCAGCATTCCTTTCCTGATCGCAGTAAAGTGTACCTGTATCTTATCTTGGGAGTCCTGGGCCTGGAGCTGATTAGCTCCCTGACATGCTTAGTGTTTTACACAGGTGAGAGGCAAGTTTTGCTGCCTTGAGTGAGTCTTATTATAGCTGCTACTCCACTGTTTTATTTGCCTTCACAGTAGCTCACTTGATGCCACTATAAATACAGAATGATTCTGTGCTTGTGAAAGGAGAACTAAGGCATATCTAAAACAAATGTGAAGGTTGTCAGGCTTGATTTGGTTCCAAATGCTGCTAAATGAAAGCTCCATGTTATCTCAAAGCTGTTGATACAGTGAAGTGGCAATAAATGCATATTTGTTTCCCAAAGTGTCCTGTGAACAGGTTTGTCAGTTTATCAGTGTTTTTCAAATGCATGCACCACAAACTGAAGCAGTGAGAGCTAACTGGCTTAATCAAAACTGCTTCTAGGATGTACATGTGGGACTTGCATTCCTGATAGTTTGATTGTGCCTTGTTATGCAGCTTCTTCCTCTTTCTCTGGTCCCACCCAAAAGACGTTGGTTCCTCTTTGTCACAAAAATGGAAGATTCCTTCTAATGAATGTTTAAGAAATCATGGCTTTTGGCAGCTATGATAATATTAAAATAAGATACTGCTTCATAAAACTGAGGCCTTGCTTTGTGTATCACTGGTGCCTTGTAAGGTTATCTGCTTTTGGTTTGGTGTAACTTGGAAAAACTTGATAAACCTCTTTCCATTAAACTATTGCAGAACTATCTAAAATGCTTTGGTATGTTTGTAGTAATGCCATAGCACACAACGAAATACTGCCATGTACCTTGTTCATCTAAAAAATAAAAGCTGTTCTTGACTTTCCTGCAACAACATTGAAAATGCACCAAGAAATAGGGTCCCAATTCTCAACTAAATATTCCTCTTAGAACTTTGCAGAGGACTGAATTCTGTAGGCTTGTCAGGCTTTCCCCTGAATGGGCCAGGGTGGCTCAAGTAGACTGAGTGTCCTCTGGAGGAATAAAGACAAAGATGAGGGAACACAGGCAGGGCAGTCCTACGAAACTATTCCAAGAATGCTGGAGATCATCCCTTCTTTGCATATGCATACTTACTTTCATGGGAAACTCAGGAAATAAGAGATAAATTGTAAAACTTTAATAGAACTTCAGGAATTCTAGTGAAATGCTATTTCTAGCCCTGAGGCCTGTAGTAATAGTGATGTTCTGAAAGTTTTTTTCTCTCCCTAACAGAGCAGAGTATGTGACTGGATGGAAGCATGAAGCTTCTTTAGTAGCATAGTTTGAAGAGCAGCCCTCTGCTCAGGGTCAGAGTGCCACTCTTCAAGGCAAGCATTTAGCAGATACCACTTACTGTTAAGATAGTATCACCTAATGTAGCTGACAACAAGTGGGGAGATAAAGATCACTTTACACTAGAAATTAATGATCCACCCCTTTCTTGTGTCAGTATATTAGTCCTAAATTTTGAAGGGAAGGTAGCATGAGTTAATACATTGTTTCTTCACAGTGAAATAATTATTTCTTAACTGTTAGAATGAGACATAAATGCTTATCTGTAGAAAGTTCATGAACCTAACTTACTTTCTTTTAAATATTACTGTCTCACAAATCAGGAATACCTGATTGTAATTCTAGGTATTTCCTCTTGTTTGTTGGAGCTATTTTATGAATTGTATGATGCCCAATGTCCTGTGGAGTACTACTGCCTCTCTTAAAATTGTCTTAAAATGCAGCACCGTGTGTGTGTCTATAGCTGTAGGATGCAGAGGCAGGATTCAGAAATCTACAAGGAATTGGTGTGATTGACCTGTAACAGACTGGGCATATATAAATCCTTCAAGTGAGGTAAAAGTGCATGGAAAGAAGTATGATACAGACAGATCTAAATGTCAGCTTACTATTCTAAGCTTGTTACAGTTAGGATAGGGAGTCAAGCTTTAAATGATTTACTAAATATGTGTATTTAATTACTTTCTCACATACTTCTAATATCACTTGAATAAAAGACTAACATTCCCACAAACAACACATGTTGAGAATTCCACATCCATTCCTTTGTGGTTTTATTTGTAGAGAAATGCCATTATAGAAATAACTAACCTTTGAGCCTAACTTGTAGTTAACCTCTGGAGGGTCTTAGCATTGTTGTAGCAGAGTGGCCTGTAATAAACCCCATCATAGTATTGACTTGTAAGGGCAGTCCTTTTCTGCTGCAGTAGTGTGGATTTCTCACAGAACTGGACTGTAATGTTTTTAGTGGCATTAGATGTGTCGCTTCACAAGCAGCCTGAACTGCATGCTCTAGATCTCTCTATATTTTCTGAATCAGGATCTGATTGAATGACTTTGAATGTTTTTCAGTTTCCTTTCTGAAATAATGCAGGGGGTGCCTACAACTTTTCCCATCCATCCCCATTCCACATCTGTTAAATTTAGTCTTAAACTTTATTCACAGGTGCCCAGGAATGACTTCTGGTTTTGCTAGCCAACACTGCAAGGTTCACAATGTGAAGCTGGTTGCAGAGCCACTCTGTTTGAATACTTGATGGCTTTCTGTAGCAAGTCAGACCTAGTTTGAGCAGGCAGACAAGCTTCATTGCAGGTAGTCTAGTTAAACTAGTATTTATCAAAGAGCTTAAGCTAGAAGTTGTGACGTAGGTACTAGTAACAAAGCTTTTCATAACTTTTTTTTTTATGGCATGTTGCTTAATTTATGGCCTCAATTTGGAGACTGAATCTCAGTACCCTCTAAAAGGCAACTAAGGTTTGTCCCTCTCTTAGGTGACAGATGACACTTTACAGATATTAAGTAGTATGTTCAAGCTTCCCCATTCAGGTCTTCACTGTCATCTTTTAAGCAGCAGGACAGAGGGGAGTAAAGAAAGCAAACCAACAAACAAGCTTGCCAAACTGTCACTAACTTTCAGTCAAAGCCATTCCAGAAATTAGTAGAAAGAGATTCTGCTTTTGCTTTCCCTCTTCCTCATTCCCAGATTACTTTATTGTTTTACCATCTCTTATCCTTAGGTAATCTTATAATCTTATGTTACAGATTTTTATAAATTAGAGCCTGGTGATAAAGCTTTTTTGGTTGCTTTCCAACTAATTTATAAAGCTTTGTTGCAGTGAAAATAAGCAACTTCAATCGTGCCAAGCCAAGACCTGACATAATAGAAGAAGAAAAGATGTATGCCTACCCTAGCCACATTACCTCAGAAATTGGATTCAGGTAAGATTTTCTGTATTAATTTTGTGCCATGTTCAGCCATGGTATATAGGTAACACTAATGTAATTGCATTACTTCCTGTAGACTTACATATAATCTTAAATTTGTCATCTAAAGCCGAGATTGGAAAACAGTTCTGAAGGAACCTGTGTGCTTAAGGCTACCATTTTAGATGCACAGATGAGATGCAACAGTCCTGTACTTTCTACATAGTAATGGCAATTTACTACGATACAGAAATCCTCAAACATAAAAAATGTGATTTGACCTTTTTTGGCTAGTTGCATGAATCTTTAAACCAGATTAAGCACAGGTCTTTATATTAATTAGTTTTACATGGGAGTTTGAGGAAAGATAACTGGTGTCTTACACTTAAAGTATGTCTACAGAAGCACAGCTGCTTCAGCCAGTGTTTTTCAGGGAAGGAAGTATACTGTGGGCAACTGATAGACAAAGAAGAAAACTTTGCAGCTCTGTTGTGTGCCAGTCGTTAGGCATGAGATTCTGGCAGTGGATTTGAAACATATTTAAAGTTTGGGAAGGACCTTTAAAGGTGCAGAGGGCACTTTAAGGGGTAAGGGATGTCTCAGTGAGGCAGAGAAGTTATCCAACAGTAACTGAAGCTATACCAAGCACTGAGGTGTGTTTTTTGTTTGCCCTTTGTGTACCTTCCAAATGCTCCAACATCTTCCATTTGCTGAAATCAGTCTGGTCTAACTTAACAAAACAAGTAATTGAAGCTAACATAGATTTCCATGTAAGAATTTAATTAGAAATTTTCTATTACAGTATGACTTGCTTCTATATATGGTGCCTTGGTGAAAAGTTGAAGTGCAAACATGACTAATACTTTAGCACTTCCCCTGGTAACATAAATGCAGCATGCACATACTTTTATGGAACTTGGAAGTAGAGGTCCAGGATACAGGAAGGATTTAGAGTTGTCTTGAATTTTGATACCATGTCTGATATCCATTTTGATGTAAACACCATGGTGATTGCATGGTGGACCTCATTCCTTTCTCATTCAGCTTCTCCCCTGAGAAATTCTCAAATGCCCAGGGAATGAGTCTGTAACAATGACCAGCTGAGGAAAAAACTGATTATTTTTGATTAAAGAGTGCAAACTTCCTGTGAGAACTGATTGCAAAACAGTTATTTTAATTTAGCTCTATACAACTCTGACTCTCTTTCCCCTGAGAGTTAAGGTCTATTGAAAAGTGAATCCTGTCAGCCCTTCAGTTGACCTTGTCATAAGAATGTTTTTTGAATATCATGACCTCTGCAACCTAAGCTACTGATCAGGACATCTCCAGCTTTAAGTTGGTAGTGCATGTTACTGGTTAAGGTTGCAAGCTTTCTGTTTACAAAACTTGTGTTCTTTATTTTTTTCCAGTTTAACTACAGTAAGTTTTTAATTGGGCTTTTTTCCACTCTAGGTATCCTCCTCAGCACTTTCTAAAAACTATGAAAAGAGCAGTCTTCCTGCATAAAATGCTCTAAGGCTAAGGAGCAACTTTCTAAGCCCTAGATGCTCACTAGTGTCCTAAGAGGGCAGATTCCCAAGTCAGCTAGGAAGGGGGGAGGGTAGCTGTACATGAGATTGTAGATCTGAAATACCACAACTCTTTGGTACTGATGCTGTTATGGTATGTGACAGATATTGCTGTATATAGTGGTATACCATGTATGCTACTCCAGGTTAATCAAGAGATTTGTCTTAAACAGCTTTTGAGCCCCCACAGCTGAACAATACTGCTCTGCCTGCTCAAAACAAGCTTCCTTATGTATTTGGAAAAGGTGCCATGAATTTCTTAGTGTAATTCTAGCATGTTGACTGGCTCTCTAATTTTAAATGTCTTAAACAGTAAGAATCTTTCTGCTACTACAGCTCTTCTGTAACTGTCAGGGAGGAAATATGCAACTTGATTATGTATATGTGGCATGAAGTTTAGCCAAACTTTTACTCTTCCTGCCTTATATAAAATGGAGGTTAAGCATGAAGTAGTTATAGATTGCCTCTGCCCTCAAAAGTTAGTTGACAGTAACAAAAGTAAAACTGAAGGAAACTGTTTAACTATGTGTTAATTACCTTAGAGGTTTCATGTGTTAGAAAGCTGTTGCCACTTACTGAAACCCATGTTCTCTTTTCTTACTTCAAGGGAAAATTCAAGTTTAGAAGAGATAGTTGAGAAGCAAGGAGACGTAATAGAGTATCTTCAACGACACAATGCACTGCTCAGCAAGAGACTGTTGGCACTAACATCTCAGCAAATCAAAACTTAACAGCATTGGGAAAACAGCTGCTGGAGCTCTGGAGGGAAATGATGCCATGTAATATCCAGACTGATTTGTACAGATGACTCTTCTTCAGTTGTCTTTCATGTTTTGAAATAGAAGTTAAGCTGGAAGGATGAGTTCTCCATACACTATAAAGCTGTTACAGCTGGACACTCTAGCTTTCAAGTCATCAGTTCTGGAAAAAAGTTCTGCAAATTCAAGGATTTTTAATTCCTCATGAGTTAAAGTTGGACTTGAGAGAATGGTTTAACTTTGCTCAGTTGTTGCTATTATTTTGTACTGCTGTAACGTTTAAGCTTCAAGCTACCAAAGTATTTTATATTTCTAGAATACAAATTTGTTTTCTAGAAAAATCTGACTTTGCAAAGGATGTCTTTTTAGTTTCTGTTGCCGAACCTGAGACCAGATGTGCTCTGCCACTGATTCACATTACTTCCAGTGATAGAGGTGGTGTATTTCAGTAATCCAATACAGATACTTGTTTTCTAGATTGGTTTCCTTTTCTCCTTTGTCAAGAAGAGGAATGAAACTGTTGCCCGTGTCAGTGGGGAAATTTGGCATCTGATTTAGGATTTTAAAACAAGTGGTGGGTGCCCTAAAATTGCAAATCTCGCATATAAGTGTGTGATACAAAACAATGTCGTGATAAGCAATTTGAGCAGTTGTTCAGAATTCTGGCTTTTAAAATTCTAGGAGGGATCTTCAGGGCTGATGACTTTCTCATTACTAGGAGTCTGCATCAGCTAATAACAAGATTCTTATTCTGCCCACTGAACTAACTTTATACAAAATTACTTGAGAGTAAGCTTTTTCATTGACCTAGTAACTAACTTGTGTTGAATGGGTTTAAAGATCCTGTCTAAGATGCGTAAGTTACATCCTTGCGCTTTGGCTCTTGATTCAAAAGCTGAAGTGATATATGTGGGGAGATGAAAAGAAGCAGAAGAGAGAAAGATCTTTTAGAAGTTGAAGGCATAAGAATTTTTGATTTTAATTTATGGTGAATTAAAGCTGGTGAAAGCAACATTTTGTTCTGGGTACTACTTTGTCTACTAATGTAGACCAAGAATTAATTTAGAAGCCAATACCTCTGTGGGGACAGGGTAATCACTAATCAAAACTGGGAAGAAGACTTCCAGTAGGAGTGGTCTTGTAGTTGGAATATAAGAAAATTAATTCATCCTACTTTAGTCTTGGGGCACAATTTTAGAAATAGCTAAACTATTTAGTGTGCAACAAATATGGGGGTTGTCTCATTCAAAGAAAAACAATAAGTACTGGAGGTTTTGCTGCTATCCAACACTAGACTGTTCTTCTTAACTGTTGTTTCTTGAAAATGCAGCCAGGGTTTTATAGTATACATGTAATGAATAAATATGTTTTTGGTTTTAGCACTCAGGTTTTGATGTGATTGTGTATATCAGTTTATATCATTTCTATGAAAAGCAGTAAAATGTGACTGTGAAGTTCATGCACAATAAATGCAACCAAGCAAGAGTGTGAATTCTCTCATTTCTAAGCTCATGTACATCTGGTTCCAACAGGCAGTTTGTCCAGATATTCTGTTATACTGAAGTTCTCACAGCAGTTTTGGCACTTAAAACTAGTCAAACTTACAGCAAGAATAGCTGTGCACTCATTTTGAAGCTTTAAGTTTAGTTTTATTCTCTTTCCTGGGTAATGTTTTTTCCATCAGGCTTCAGACTTTCCCTGCTACTTATGTAGAGAAATAGGTTACATAGTGTAGCAGAGTAACTACTGTGTTCTGAGGTAATTGTTCATACCGTCCTTCTCTCCTCCTTGATTGCTTAAGGTAAAACTTGGATTAACTGGAAGTATTGCTTTGTGGAACGTGGTAGCTGGAAAGCAAAGTGCAGGTTGCTGTACGTGAACATGCACATCTGCCCTTTAATGCTTTTCATAAGTACACAAATTACAACCACTTTTGAAAACTACCCAACCCTTGCCCCAGTTCTATATCTTTATCATACCCCCAACTTAATCTTGTTTTCTTAGTGTCTCAGGTTTTTTCTTTTGGGAGGATGGGGTGGGCAAAAAGGCTTTTGATATTTGTATGGACTCCCAACGAGGAGCTGGCCCTCTTTACTACTCACCTTGGACAGTTCTGAATTTTTAGCCAGGATAGGGCTACGGTGAAGTGTTACATAGGACCTACTGGAGCAGGACAAGGACTACACTTAGCAGTTTATGTGTCAGCCCCAAGCCTGTCTGTGCCTGTACAGCAGATGGTCCAAGGCCAGACTTTGCCCTGCTTAGAGGCAGAAATGCTCCTCAGCCCCATGGGTTCCACTGGTGCTGCTTGCCCAGGTGCTTGGTGTGGCATGCTGGGTGCCAGTCTACAGCAGGTGCCTGCAGAGCTGCTCAGGGAGACAGTGTGCAATCAGGTGCTTGGAATGCAGTCTGAAAGGGGTGAGTGGCTGCTGCTGTGCAAGGGAGATGAAGCTCAGCTGTGACCTTGGTGTGTCTGATATGCCATAGGGCTGAAATTGAACACAGTCCAAATTGTTCTGGTTATGCTGTATTTTGCTTATCAGAAACCTCTCTGCTCATTCAAGGTTAGGTGCTGGGTGTTGGGGTGGCCAATGATGTCTGACCAGCTTCAGGGCAACTCTTGGTCCATCACCACTGTTGCAGCCTGGGTACCTGTCCCTGCAGCATCAACACTGGGTCATGGGCTGGATTTTACTGCCTGAAGTAAAATTCATAGCATGTTGCACGTGCAGTTAGCAGTGAAGCATTAGGTCCAAGTTTCAAGGGAAAGCAAGTACTGTCTTGTGTACACAGTGGTTTGCACGTGTTCTGCTTCAAAGCAGAACTTTGGTAACTACCACCACAGCCCTTCAGGTGTGGTGGGGCACACCTGGGCATAGGTAAACACATGCACCTCTTAACAGCTGAAGAAATGCTCTTTATGTAACTACAGCTGCTGAAATGCACTGGTATTTGCAGGTTCATGGTCTTAATTTTGTAAGATCTACTGGTTTGCAACTGGGGCAGGAAGAAGATAATGAAGGAATTCTTCCTAATACATCTATTAAAATAAAAATTAAAACTATGGATTCTATTTTTGATTATTCAGTACTACCCCGGGAGCTTTTTGTTTCTGTAGAAAAACAATGTATATGTTTTTCAGGTCTGGGAAAAGTATTTTAGAGCACCTAAGGAACATAAAGGATTAGGGGTTGCCCAAAAAAATGTTCCCATTGTGGATTTTTAATAATTTCTAGTAGAAATGCTGAACTGTGCTAAAATTTTGCACACATGAAAAAAATGTAATGATCTCTTGTGAATGCAGATATATAAGGGGAAAAACTCTCAGTCAATATTTCTGTCTTCTCTTTCTGAATAGCTTACACGTAAATATTTCAACTCATGAGGGTAAACTGATTTTAACAGGCTTTTCCTCCTTTTAGGTTCTACACTGACACGCAGTTAAGCAGGCTTGCTCCACTGAAAGTCATTCTTAAATCTAAAGAAGGTTGTAGCAAGGACCAAAGGCACTTTGGCAGACAACTGTCTAACAGGTAGCTCAAGAGACATGGAAAAGCATCTTCAGCCTTGGAATGAGTTCGTTTTTTAGGCATTCTTTCTACCTAAAGTCTTGTTGCGCTGTTTATGCTTTTGGGAGTGTTTCCTGCTTTGCACAAATATTTTGAAGCTGATCACTAGCAAGAGAAAGACCAACAGAGCAGTGAGGGATCAGTATGCTAATTGGACTTTCCTGATGATGATCAAACATTTGAAACTTATTTACCACACTAATGTTTCTCCTGATTGATGTCAATATAAATCTTATGTGACCCTTAGCAAAATTTGGCTTTGTGTACAGACACGGAGGTATTTATAGCATATGTATGTGGCGTAAGGGAAATATTTCCAGTCTTTATTCTTCTATAATTTCCTTTTTTCCATACTGGAAGGGGAAGAGGTGAATTGTTTATTATCCTTTGGGAACATGCTAAACTGCTCTTTCTCACTGAAGCCTTGCATTTACTTCTTTCCTGTTGACCTGCTGTTACATCACTTTTTATTTCATTCTGAAACAGCCAATATAATTTAAAAGACTTAATAAAATGTACTTTCAAATAAAATTTTCATTCTTTTCCACATAACAACTATCTGCAAGACAAGGAGTTAATTCTAAATTTCATAAACTCAGATTTTGCCCTTAAGAGTTTGAGGTCTTAGTCTACCTTGGGATCAGGTCTTGATTGTGAGATTGCATCCATGCAAACATCATCAATTCTCATTTTCAATACACAGCAATTTGTACAAGTTTCCTCTAAGTGTACAGTCATGCATCCACAAAGAGAGCTCAGTCAATTCGGCTCTAGTAGCACCGTGTCCACATTCTTCATGTTTGTATGTATAATTAACAGTTATCATGCAAAACTGGTTTTACTATGAGCCCTCTGTTGTGTGCATCAAATGAAAACAGGTACTTTCAGTGAAGTCAAAGGCAAATCCAGCTCAGCTGAAAACAAGGTCCTTTGAAGCAGCCACTTAAGTTAAAAGTCAACTTAGTGTTGTGCTATTGTAGGATCCTACTACTCAGCTCTCTTAATTTTACTGTACAATATCCAACCCTAAATGAGGAAAGCTACTGCACATTTTAGTTTTTGCTATACTTCAGACTACTGCTGAGCTCATTTTTGTTCTGAAAAAGGGTCACCTTGTAATTTGTGAGAACATTCAGATTTCAAGATTTAAGACTGAGATAATTAAAAAGCTTGCTTATTCTAGGCTCAAAGACAATGCATAGTCTGGGTTCTGCTGTAATCCTAGTGTGGTATCATGATGTCATGTTACAGCATGCTGTGATTACACAAACCAGTAGGTTTAAATCAGACTTATTTTTACATGGCTTTTATCAGAAATTGAGAAGTATACAAAGTTTATTTAAAATGAGATATTATTTGAAATGCATACTTTTTACAAAATATACAGTCAACAAGCTTGTTGATAAACATATCTATCAAAGAAGATTTTATGGTATCACCATGTCGTTTAAAAACCAGACATTTAGAATAATTTTGTAGACTGACAACAGGCTTCCTAGGGTGCTGTTTTATTTTAACTTCTGTGAAGAATCATGCATATATAGCTTTCTGATAGATACATTGTTTTCC